CAAAAGGGAAAAATATTAATTTTACAGTGGAGAAATACAGAGACCCTTTAACCAATTGATTAAGTTTAACATTATTGGCAACAAGACATTTTGGTATCACACACTCACAGATGTAATAAGAAGGGCTCTTTACCTCTGTGGCATACTTCTCCAAAAGCTGTAACCTTGGTCTAAACATGAGAAATCATTAGACAAATTCAGATAAGGGACATTCTACAAAATGCCTAGCTAGTATATATTGAAAGTAGCAAAGTCGTAGAGACAAGAAAAGAGAGAGGAACCATCATACACAGTTGGTGGAAATGTAAAATGGTGCAGCCCTTTGGAAAAACGGTACAGCCAGTTCCACAAAACCTTAAACATAGTTTCCACAGAACTCTCTCCCAGGTATATACCTAAGATAAATGAAAACACACAAAAGCTTATATATGTATCTTCATAGATGTGTTATTCATAACAGCCAAAATATAGAAAAAGCCCAAATATCCGTTAGTGAATGGATAAAAAGTGATATACTCATACAATGTAATATTATTCAGCAACAAAAAAATTCAGTAGTAATAAATGCTACATTATGGATGAACTTTGAAAACACTATGCTAAATGAAAGAAGCCAGCCATGAAAGACCACATATTATGATTCCATGGGTATGAACTACCCAGAATTAACTATAGAGAAAATAGTTTAGTTGTTGCCCTAGGGCTAGAGAGGTTGAAGAGTGATTGCTAATGGGTGTGAGGTTTCTTTTGAGGGTAATGAAAATGTTCTGAAATAGATTGTTGTGATGGTTGCACAACTGTGTGTTTATAGTAAAAACCACTGATTTTATATCTTAAAGGGTATGATTGTAGAGTATGTGACATATCTCAATAAAACGATTATTAAAAATAGAAGATTTACAATCATACACAAAAAAAGATTATGAGAAAACAAGAATGTGGAGCAACTGGCTCTCTCATTCATTACTGGTGGGAATGCAAAATGGTACAGGCACTTTGTATGACAATTTGGCATTTCTTACAAAGCTAACCATATCTTAACAGATGATCCAGCAGTTGTACCCCTTGGCATTTACCCAAATGAGTTGAAAATTAATGCTCAGACCAAAACCTTCAGTCAAGCAAGATGAATAAGCTCTAGAGATCTGATGTTTAACACTGTACCTATAGTCAATAATAAAATAATAATTTGCCAAGAGGGTCTATCTCATGTTAAGAGTTCTTATCACAGTAAAACAAAAGAAAGAAAATGTCCAGGTTAAAAAAAAAAAAGCCCTTCAAATGAATGTATATAGCAGCTTTATTCATAATTGTCAAAACTTAGATGTCCTTTAATACGGGACTAGATAAACAGACACGCTGAGGTGCATACATACAATGGAATACTATTTAGCGCTAAAAAGAAATGAACTATTAGACATGAAAAAACATGGAGGGAACTTAAATGCATATTGAAAGAAGCCAATCTGAAAATGCCAATCTATATACTGCATGATTTCAACTATATGAGATTCAGGAAGAGGTAAAACTATAGAGACATTAAAAACATCAGTGGTTGCCATGGGTTTAGGAAGAGGGAAGAAGGGATGAATATGTGAATTTGAATATGAATATTATATATAAATATAAGCATTATATCTGCAAATGAATAAGTTTCTAAACATGGACTGTAACGAATAGTAAAGATCAACAAAGACTTTTGCATGGATTTGAAATGTAAAATGTAATAAAATTTACATTTTAATGGAAATAATGAAGAGTTAAGATTTTTAATTATGATAGCATGCCTTACCTTTCATGACTTTATGAAAATTGTGGGGCAGCTACAATCCCCATTTACAGTAAATACATAGGAATTCAGATGATCCCACCACCCAAGCTCTCAATCCTTCCAACATCAGTCAAGCTCTGAGACTACAATTGGATTTGAAATGATTTGTGAAGTAATGGAAACCGAGCTGTGATGAAAAAAGAATTTTCTTTCTTTCTTTTTTCTGATTAAATGGGAACATACAGCCTTGCATGGGCTATTCTTTAGCACTCAACTGCAGAATGAACATATTTTTATATTTTACTCTTTCCAATAAAATAATTTTTTTAAAGCAAAAATCTGGCATCAGACATCAGTAATTAAAGATTGTGATGAATACAGGAAGGGAAGAGATTCAGAGTGGCTGAACTCTAAAGGCTTTTAAACACTAAAAAAAAAATCATCTCCTTTTGATAATCTTACAGTGGCAAGGAAATTAATTTTCTCTACTTGCAAAGGCACACTAAAAATTATAGTATTGGGAATAATTTTTAAATTATTATTTCATATATCCTAAGTCTTGAAAAAATGTACATTAAGACACATAAAGGTATTATAGGAGAATTTAGTTCTAGAGTTCAAATATAGCATTACCATCATTCAAGAGAATATTAAATAATTAATCATTTGTATTTTTATTATTAAGAGATATTAAAATCTTTGTCTTATGATGAATTGTAGTTTAGTGTGTAGAAGTTATCATTTGCTGCTGAAAACTGATGATTTGGTATCAGATAAAAGTAATTCTATTGTTTATACAGCTAGTTATTTTCTTGAGAATATCTGGAACTGGGTAGTTCGATTTCCACCACGCGATAAAAAGTCACAACCTGGGGCACCTGGGTGGCTCAGTGTGTTAAAGCCTCTGCCTTCAGCTCAGGTCATGATCTCAGGGTCCTGGAATCGAGTCCCGCATCCGGCTTTCAGCTCAGCAGGGAGACTGCTTCCTTCTCTCTCTCTGCCTGCCTCTCTGCTTACTTGTGATCTCTGTCTGTCAAATAAATAAATAAATAAAATCTTAAAAAAAAAAAAAGTCACAACCTTTACTCCCTTTCTGAAAACAAATCTGACATTCCACTTTAGATATTTGAACAATTAGGCATGTTGGCTGAATTTTGGTAGAGAAGTAAGGTCAAAAAGTCCATTGAACTCATAAGATCACCATATCAAAGTCACACTGCCAACACATTTGTGTCCATCTCCTTGTTGCCAGTAGTGTTAACACTGAGCTATGAAAATGACAACGATTTAAGTATCCATGGAAAATGGAAATGCTGGGGTGCCTGGGTGGCTTAGGCGGTTGGGTGGCTGCCTTCAGCTCAGGTCATGATCCCGGGATTCTGGGATCCAGCCCCACGTTGGGCTCCCTGCTCAGCGGAAAGCCTGCTTCTCTCTCTCCCTCTGCCTACTGCTCTGCCTACTTGTATTCTCTATCTCTGGCAAATAAATAAAAAACTTAAAAAAAAATCTTCTAAAAAAAGAAAAAAAAATGGAAATGCTAATTTTGGTGGAATGTAATTAACGCTTGGCCCAAGAATGATTTCAGCTAAATTAGGCAGTAGGGCAGATACCATCTTACTACTTTGATATTTCACAAAACATAAAGTGTATCTACACATTAGGTGTAGTAATACATGCCCAAGTATCAGGAACTTTAAATAAAATTCGAATTTAACATATGGTGGCCAAATCTGACAATTTCTATGTGCATGAAATGTACATAATAAGAACATCCTTGGATGGATACTTGTTTATTCTGTAACCAAAAATTAAAGAAACTAAACCAAAAAACTAAACCAAATGTGACAAAATGCAAGATCCTGTAGTGAATCTTTTTGAATGTTTAAAGACTTTTTAAAAAGTAAAGCAAAACAAAGACCACCCAACTGCATTATTTTTACTTAGGAGGAAGAAAAGGTAATGAGGTATTTTCACAAGTCATTGTGATGGTTCTAGGAGCACCCACAACATGATAAGCCTCTAAAGTTAATTTTAGACAATGTAGAAAAGCTCCTGGCTCCAGATACAAACTGGTGACTTGGGCCACGCATATGGATGTTAATCATGATGTGACAGATCAGACTTCAAATTCTTAATGGAGTGGGATGAATGGCTGCAAAGACGAAAGTCAGGACACGACCAAGAAGAAAAACTGTGCAAATATTATTTTATCCATTTCCAACAATGCAACAGAAAACACCTAAGCTTTGGGATAAGAATTAGGACCAGATTTAGAAGGTTCAGTTCGGGAGTCCACGGGAGGGCCGTGTTGGTAAGTTTCCTCCGCCCGTAACCTTTAGCCTAGTTGTCAGTTCTTCCAATTGGGACAGCTCTATGGGGAGGAATCTAGGGTCCACTGCCAGGTATGGACGGCGTGACCTTGGCCCGAGTTTAACCTGAGGACTCCAGGAGAGCAGGTGAAGAGAGGTAGGTGTCTAGAGCCCCCCACCCCCCCGCCCCAGCTGTAGCCCTGTCCGTTTTGCCCTAACTCCTCGACCTTCCTCTAATTATCCCCGACCGGAGTTCCCTCTCACCCGGGCAGGACAGCTTGGCTAGCCGCACCAACATATTCTCTGGTCCCAGGACTGTCGGGGGGAGACAACGCAAGGGCTGTCAGTAGTTCACCGCGGGTGCTGGACCTCTAGACCGCGGGGGGCGCCATCACCTGCCGAGAATGACCAACACCTCCGCCGAAGTTTGTTTGCTTCTCAGTTCTGCCCAATGCTTGGGCTTCGCGGTGTTCCCGCCTCTTTCTTGCTCTGCGCCGGCGCCGCACAAGACGCTACGGCCGGCAGAGACATCCGGGTCACGTACCGAAAGAGGAAAAGGAAAGGGACGCCAAGTCTCTGCACGATCCCGGCTTCAGGCTGAGGATTGGTTCTCCGTTTGCGTCTCACCAAGGCGTGGTGAGGACGCGGGAGTGCAGGTGAGAGAAACCCACAGATCCTGTGGTATACGCGTGCGCATCAAAAGTAGTGGGCGGTGTGGCGACGCATACAGCATTCTGGGAGTTGTAGTCCTCTATTCAAGCGCCTTCTGAGCCTGACCGGAGATTTGCGCCGGAGCGATGTACCGCCCAAGGTGATTGGCTGTCCCGAAAACACGACCTAGTATTCGCGGACTTGGGCAAAGACCCGCAAGGAGACCCGGCGGGACTTCAGAAGTAAGGGGGGTGGGGCGGGGGGGCGGGGCTTCTGGGTGTTGGGCGCGAGCAGTTTGAAAAACAGTTGGTGTCGGTTCGGCTGCTAAGGTCGGATTTTGCAGCCCCAGCCCTGCTCAATGGCAGACCCTAAAGAGCTGCGGATTTCTTCGCCGCCCCCGCCGCCCCCCTCCTCTCCCTCGTCTTCAGACGCCTCGTCAGCGTCTTCCCCCGGCGTTCCAGTGAGTTTGGGCTGGCCAGTTCCGAGCAGGAGCAGCGGCCGAACGGTGGACCCGCTGGAGGAAGTGGAGCTACAGATTGGAGACGTGAGTGTCGCTCGACAGGTCCCGGGGCCGCGCCCCCACTCGGCCCTTGTTGGGAGACCGTTGCTGTGCAAGGGAGGGAAGGACCAGGAATCCGCATCTCGCCCTTCTGCCCCCAAGGCTGTAGGCTGGGGGGTGGGTTAAGTAAACCGGAGACCCGAGGCCCCGTGTCCACCATCCCCGAGGACCGCCCCCGCCCCACCGCCTTCCCCACCTTCCCCACCCCTCGCTGTTTTCTTTTCGTCTCGCCTTCTGGTTTCAATCATTCTCCGTAACCTGAAACCACAGAGCTCTGCTGCGCGGACGTGTGCTGGCGATGTCTGCCCTCTATTCCTTCTCCTCGTCTGCTGGTGCTTAGGATCAGGCTGTGATTTCTTTCCTTGGGTCTTAAGATCCCGCTGCTCTAGTTGGGCACCTTCCAAAGCCAGCTGGCAATGCTATTATTGCGTGTCTCAGGCTTGCCTTGCGCTGGGCCCAGTTTGGAGGGGTTACTTAACCGCGCCTGTAGTCCAGATTGGTTTCCTCACCCGCCAGGTCCGAGACCTCCCTCTGATTGCTAGAGGGCACACTGTGGTTTCTGTTGAGTCTCGAATTCCACTGACACACATACACCCACCCCCAGAGGAGTTTCAGTAAATAAGGACTCTTGGCTGAGTCGAGTGAATGAGGTATGTAGGATGTAATACTCCTGGGAGAACTTTGTGGAATAGACCCTCCTCCTGTGCAGATTGGAAACTGCGGAATGACCTCGATTATCTCTCGTGGCTTAATAAGTATTTTTTTTTTTTAAAGATGTCTAAAGTTCTGGTACAGCTTCAGTATTTGCTGAAGGAGACTGGTATCAAGAGAATATGTTGAGTAGACTGCTGATAGGTTATCTAGGAAGAGTGTAATTTTATATTCTAGGTGAAGAAATCATTTGAATAAGAAGTGAATTCCACCAAGAGATGGATATTTTTTGTATGCTGCTTTGGTTTGTTTTGATTTTGTTGATGTTATTTGGCCTTTTAGAGTATCTGTTCTTTGGTCTGTACATTTTCATGGTCTAAATAGTGTTCACAAGTAAAATTAGCAGGACAATGCCCTTGTTACCTAAATATCAGTGAGCTGTTTGTCAAGAATAAGTCCCTCAGATGCTTCTGGTACTTAGTGTCAAGGGCTCCAAGTCCTCTTTTTGAGCTAAATGAGTCTAGTGAATTTTCTCCCTTTTTTTTTTCTTTTAAAGATTAATTTTTTTTTTTTTAAAGCAATTCTACACCCAGCGTGGGGCTTGAACTCAACAACTCTGAGATCAAAAGTCACTTGCTTTCTATGATTGACCCAGCCAGGTTCCCCTGGTGTATTTTCAATTAAGAAAAAAAAAAAAGAAAAAAGTACTGACTTGTTAGGTCTGGTGCATAATGGGTATCTCTCCAGCAGACATATTTCTTCAAAACTTACTTTAAGGAATTTCTTAGGTTCCCTGAAGAAGCTAGTGTTTAGTTTGAAGATTTTTTTACATTTATGGAAAATAAGTTGGGCATAGGAGTCAGGGTTTTAAGCTATTTTTAGACTATAAAATGAGATGAAAATCTGAAAGATAAACATATTATTTGACTTTCTCTCTCTCTGTCTTTTTTTAAAATTTCAGGCAGCATTTTCATTAACCAAACTTCTTGAAGCCACATCTGCAGTATCAGCTCAAGTGGAAGAGCTTGCCTTCAAATGTACAGAAAATGCACGTTTCCTTAAAACATGGCGGGACCTCTTGAAAGAAGGCTATGATTCTTTGAAGCCTGACAACTGATTTGGCTGTGTAATAATTCATACTTACTCATTTTTGGTATTTGTACATGTACCATAAGTATATGGTTGTCTCCAGCAGTTCTGTATATTCAGAATGAAATCTTCTTGGTTTTCTCACTTTTGTGAAAGCAGAATACTGATTCTGTTTTTCATGCTGGATGATATTTATCTTTAAATACTTCCTGTCCTCTAAACTTTAAAAGTCTATTTTATGAAAGTTAATTTCATCAGTAGATAACGTTAATAATGCTACAGTGTTACCAGTAGAAAAAAAACATGTAGATCATTATTCTGTTTGATTTCTAAGAAGATGTCAGAAATGCCAGCGTTTGAAGTTGAGCTTCATTTTATGGACCAAGGGAAGTAACTTTAAGGTTACCAGTGTTGGCCCAGCTCCACCACGCCAAGTTCCCTGGAACTAATGATTGTGTCTTACTTCTTTATCCCCAGCACCTAGAACAATGACAGTGTCACACAACAACTAGTAAATGTTTGTTGAATAAAAGAGTTGACAATACAGTTGAAAGCTGTTTTTTTTTCACATGAAACTTAGAATTGTTTTTCTAAAAAATATTTGAATTAGAACCTCACAGACTTTTTAGGAAGACATTCTTTTCTTTATAGGAATTTGCAATTTAACTGATAACTTTTTAAAGTATATGATAAATATTTTTTATTCCTTATGATGCTTTATAAAAAGATTTTACTTCAGAAAATGAAAGCCTGTCTGGAAAGAATATATATATATAAATTTTTTTTCCCTTTTTATTTCTCAGGTTAATTGCTATGTGATGTTGTATGTTTGATTGTTCTCTTTAAAGTGCCTTATCAAAATTATGACTGTATTACAGCTTTTTGAACTTTGCACATAATAATTCTAAATTCTAAATACAATCATTCTAAAGATACTTTGTTTTTAATGCATCAAATATAAATGATGTGATTGGTTTCATATTATTTGACTTTAATGACAATGTTCTAATTTACTTGTCCCATATCTTAGATTGTTCTATCTCTTTTTGCTGGTTTATGTCATATATGTCAGGGATTAAGCCAACTAATTCTCCATAATGGGTAGGCATCTTTGATATGGTATCTTAATTCTTTTGTAGATATGGAGATGTGTATAGAACTATATTCTAAAGCTCTACAGTGGGGACAAATGGATGGACAAAGAATAGTATTGTGTAGTATATTAGGGCATAGTTCTTGATTAATTTTTTCAAGTTAAAGATAGCATATGAGGTGTGTTTCTACCAAAGAGATACTTATTTTGATATTAGAAAAATATTTTTCTTATGTGTCATCAAAATTGCAATTTTCAGAATATACAGAAATAAACATGTTCAAAGCAGATTTTATTTCATTTCTTTGGGTTCATTATTTTAAAGCTTTTACTGAAATATTTAAAACATAAGAGTAAATCATTAGAGGACATATTCCCACCGTGCAGATTTAATAAACGTTAGCATTTGGTTATACTTTCTTCAAATCTATGTATATTTGTAAATGTTAGTTACATTAGAAAGTTTTGTTACCTCTTTGATCCCATCCCTTCTTCTCTCCCCAGAGGTAACTGTTGTTCTAGAAGTGATATGTATCCTAGTTTGTGTTCTTATATTTTTAATGCATATGTATCAAAGTACAAAATACTATTTCATGTATGTGGCAGCTAGCCTCCAGATGGCCACAACAGTCCGCCTCCTGGTGTTTATGCCCATGTATAGTCTCACACATTAAGTAGTGCTGACTTGTGTAACTACTGGGAGATTCAGGAAATGCAGTGTGTGATTTCTGAGGCCATAGCTTTGTCCATTTTTCTATTTTTTTTTCCCGTATCAATTTGTAGGTATTACATATTTTGAATACTAATGATCTGTTTTCTGTGTTTTAACTATCTTCTGTAGTTTGTGATTCATCTTCATATTTAATTGTGGAATTTTCGTAAATAAAGGTTTTTAATGAAATCTTACCAGTTTTTCCTAATAGTGCTTTCTGGGTCCTGTTTTGAAAGGATACTCTCCTTTACATCTTTCCAAAAGTTAAAACATTTTTGTTTTTAATGTTTAGGTGCCTAATCTATCTGAATTTTGCTTATGGTGTTATTTTGGGATCTTATTTATTTTTGCATGTATCTTGGTGTTCCCCCCAAATATCAGTATTTTCAAATGCTATCTCTGTCATTCAAATACCATATAAATGCTTGGTTCTGAGATCATTCTAATCTGATCTATTTGTTAACCCTATGCTAAGATTCCCTGTAACCTCTGTTATAGCTTTATCATAAAGTATGATCTGTACTACTTTGATTTTGGTGTATGTGACTTCCTCCTCCAACCATGTATATATTTTTTTATGTTGGAAAGAAAAATCGTGTTAGTTCATTTCTAATTTTGTTGAATTGTGGTCACCTGAGGTTAACCCCTGATTTTAAGCAGTGAGCTTTCTGTGGACACTTACTTTTTTCCTCAGCACTAAAACTCAGCTGCTAGTCTGAGTGAAGAGTCTGGTAGGCCCAGAGCTCAGCTTTGTTTACAGTTTCTGTTGCAATGTGTGGCCCGCAGAGAAGTTCATCTTATTTTTAAGAGTTGCTTTTTGGAAAAGTATCCTTTTTTTAGGGGTGCCTGGGTGGCTCAGTGGGTTAAGCCTCTGCTTTCAGCTAAGGTCATGATCTCAAGGTCCTGGGATGGAGCCCCACATAGGGCTCTCTGCTCAGCAGGGAGCCTGCCCCCCCACACCTCTCTGCCTGCTTGTGATCTCCCTGTCTAATAAATAAAATCTTAAAAACAAACCCCTCCCCCCCTTTTTTTTAAAGCATCCCCCCCTTTCTTTTTGCTCTGCTTCATGGGAGGGGTTGGGGAAGGCTTCAGAACAAACATTTTTGGGGGGCCTGGGGGGGTTCAGTCTGTTAAGTGTCTTGCCTTCGGCTCAGGTCATGATCCCAGAGTCCTGGGTTAGAGCTCCACATAAGGCTCCCTGCTCAGCAGGGAGTCTGCTTCTCCCTCTATCTTTCCCCCTCTTCTTGTGCTTGCTCCCTCTCTGTCAAATAAAATTTTTTAAAAAACCCCCATGTTTTCTTAGAGACTCAAATTTTTTCTTAGTAGCTCATTACCAGCTCTATATAAACCTCAGAGGAAAACAGTATTTTGACTAATATAATTAAAAGACTTAAGAGGCCAAAGTCAATATGATAAAAAAATTTTTAAAAGATTTTATTTATTTATTTATTTGACAGAACCAGAGAGAGAGAGAGCAAGAGCACAGGCAGGGGGAGCAGCAAATTCCGCTGAGCAGAGAGCCCAACAAGGAACTTGATCCCAGAATCCTTGGATCATGACCTAAGCCAAAGGCAGAAGCTGAACCAATTGAGCCACCCAAGCGCCCAGTATGATGAAATTTTTAATATTAAAGACAATGTGTTTCAAAACTTCTGAGTATGAAATATCTGTCAGGTACTATGTTAGGAGCTTTGTAAGCATTATTTCATATTAGCTTTTTGAGAAAAGTGATACTATTCCTGTCTACAGAAACAGAATAGGAAACAGGCTGAGATGAAATGATTTTTCTATGGGTCTCTTAAACCAAAATTAATATGCCTATCTTTACCATACCTAGCCACCTAACTCTTGGTTAGACCCTTTAATATTCAAGCTCACTTTGTTTGCTTTCCCCAATGATGATGGTTTATTTTATGTGTCGACTGGGTCACAGGATATCCAGATTTTTGGTCAAACCTGGGTGTTCCTTTGAGGGTATTCTCAGATGAGATTAACATTGGTAGATTGGGTAAAGCAGATAGCCCTTGGTAAAGTGGGTTAAGCATTCAACCAGTTGGAGGCCTGAGTAGAACAAAAGGCTGCTCCTCCCCTGAGTAATACCATTCTACCTTGAAAAAGTGGTTTGTCTTGCTTGATGACCTTTGAACGAGGACACTGTCTTTTCTTAGTTCTACAATATCTTCTGGCCTTTGGATTTGAATTGGGACATCAGTTCTACAGATTTTGGATTTGCCAGACTCCATAATCATGCGGGACAATTTCTTACAACAAATCTCTTTATATAGATTCTGTTTTTCTGGAGAATTCCAACTAACACACCATTTAAAAATGGAACTGAACACATTTGGCCATTCAGTCACCCATCATAGAATACTGGTGGTAGTAACTATAATATTCAATTTTTTCCCTTAGATTAATTTGGGAGCTCTAAATACCTATACAAATCACTTGAGCAAATTACAACTGGAGGTATAGAAACTTGTTAGAAGGTTATTGCAAATATAGTTGAGACATGATGTTGGCCCAAGCTTAGGTATTAGGAAATGGGATAAAGAGAAGTAGACAGATTTAAGAGCTGTTTATTACATAGAATAAAGGTAGTGCTAGGCGATTTTGAGATAGTGGATAAAGGAGAAGGAAGAGCCAAAGGATGACTCAAAGATTTCTAGGTTAGGTTGTTGGTACCATTCACCCAGATAGGGTCTGGAAGAGATGCAGATGTCAGAGTCAGGGTCCATATTAATGACATTAAAAAACCAGTGAGATATCCAAGTGGTAATGTCTAGGGACATTTGTACGTATAAGTGACTAATTTAGGAAAGAAAATAAGCTAAAGGCAAAAATGTGGGAATCATCAGTATATACATAGTAATTGAAACCACAGATTTTAAAGTAGGTAAGACTGCCAGGCTGTAGGTTAAGAAAAGGATTTAAAACAGAGTAAATGAGGTTTCTCCTGAAGGGTTTTCTCTTTAAAAGAGGAGTACATTAGTAAAAAATAGATTTTTGAAGTGTCTTACCTAGAGTGCTTCACTCCATCACACTGGATTATCAATTCATTTACTACTTAGTTTATTAAGCAATGAAATCATGGACCTCACCATTCTGGCTGCATATATCCCTTTCCCATTTGTTGTTTTCTTTCAATTTTATCAGTGTCTAAATTGCTAAAAGGCAGTAAATAAGTAATTTCCTTGTGAGAGATTATGTATTAGCTGGATGTAATAGGAGCTCTTAAACTAAAAATAGAAAAAAAAGGGTTGAGGTCTTTCTGATATTTATTTTACATTTTAAAACACTTTAGTTTAACTTAGAGGATTGATTTGACCTAGAGCATAGTCCATGAGTTTTGGACCAAAGTTATTTTTGTAAAAGAGAAAACCATGACTTGTATCTGCATTAATTTAGTGCTTTTACTATAACTTCCATTGAAGTTAGTAGGAAATAGTTACACAGTATGCTAGTAATTACTTACCAAATTAAATTAAGTGGAAGTTACTCTATTTGGGGAGGCAGAAAAATGGAAGAAGTTAAGTAGACTGAATAGACAAACCAAGTTGTCTATAGAAAATTATTTGAGGGGCGCCTGGGTGGTTCAGGAAGTTAAGCCTCTGCCTTCAGCTGAGGTCATGATCTCAGGGTCCTGGGATCGAGCTCCGCGTCAGGTTCTCTGCTCAGTGGGGAGCCTGCTTCCCCCTTCTCTGCCTGCCTCTCTGCCTACTTGTGATCTGTCAAATAAATAAATAAAATATTTTAAAAAAAATTATTTGAAAATATTTTAAATGCTAAAAAGTAGTTTGAGGTGTATATTTTGTAAATTCACTGCATTTCTAAGACCTATAAACATAGGTTAGAATTATAATTTTTGTAGG